ATATATAGAGCAGGGTTTCTCAACTAGGGTTTCTGCAGAGGTTGCTAGGGGTTCCTTGAACAATAAGTAATTTCTGCCTCTTAGATAAGTTACCGCTGACACTATTGATCTTTTTAGCTTTCTATAAGGGTAATTCTTCCCAATGTCCAAAAGGAGCAGACGTGGCTCTAGGCTTTGTGAGACCTTAGGCAGAACTTAGACATGATGCCCCACCCACTCGCATAATGGGAAAAATAATTCAAGTGAGAAAAATTAACTGGGGAATTGGTAAGGCAACCATTGGCAGTTCATCCCTATCCCCACCACTGCTACTGATATCATCCCTATCCCCACTACTGCCACTGATGTCATTCTTATCCCACCACCACTGTTGTCATCCCTATCCCCACCACCACTGATGCCATCCCTTTCCCCACCACTGATGTCATCCCTATCCCCACCACCACCACTGATGTCATCCCTATCCCCACCATTGCGACTGATGTCATCCTTATCCCACCACTGCCATTGATGTCATCCCTATCCCCACCACTGCCATCATCCTTATCCCACCACCACTGATGTCATCCCTATCCCCACCACTGATGTCATCCCTAACCCCACCACTACCACTGATGTAATTCATATCCCCACCACTGCCACTGATGTCATTCCTATCCCACCACCACTGATATCATCCCTATCCCTCATCACCACTGCTACTGATGTCTTTTCTTTGCTCAGTGTGTCCCTACCTGCGCCTGGCTCCCTTCACGTGGCTCTAGTGATGCCTCTCCTGACATGGGGTCTTCTTGCAGAATGGAGAGAACTCCTCCCTCTTCACTCTACTGGCTGTCAGCTGCCTTTCTCCTCCTGACCAGACTCTGTGGAAATCGGTGTACAGGATAGGCAAGCAGTCTGAACCATCCAGTATGGTAGTGACAGTGAGTACTCATAGAGATAGTGTACTATCCCTCAACCCGACTCAATGTCTCTAACTGGAATAGGTAGGTGGCCCGTCCCACAGTGGTGGAACATACAAGCCTACAAGCCCCCCCCCCCCCCACAGTGGCAGCACTTGCCCCCTGGCTAGGGTTGCCACCTCATCCCTAAACTGAACACATATTAATTACACAGGCTCTGGGGCTAATTTAATGCAGATAAGGCACCAAGTGAGTTTAATTACCACCTTACTCAGCCACAAAACCTGAGTAATTAATGTGTTCGGGTTTAAAGCGATGAGCCCTCGCTGGACCCCACCAACCTGGACAACTTAAGACCCATCTCCCTGCTCCTGTTTACCTCTAAACTCTTAGAACACTTAGTCTACAATCGCCTGAGCTCCTACCTCACTGACAACCTTCTTGACCCTTTACAGTCTGGCTTCCGCTCACTCCACTGAAACTGCCCTACTAAAACTCACTAATGATCTACTAACTGCTAAAACTAATGGCCACTACTCCATACTCTTACTACTTGACCTGTCTTTTGATACTGTTGACCATCCCCTCCTCAAAACTCTCCACTCTTTTGGCCTCCGAGACTCTGCTCTCTCCTGGTTTTCCTCCTACCTAGCGCAGCGCTCCTTCAGCGTTACCTATAACTCTGTCTCCTCCACTCCACTCCCTCTTTCTGTTGGGGTCCCTCAAGGTTCTGTCCTTGGACCCCTTCTCTTCTCCATCTACACCTCCTCCCTTGGTCACCTGATAAACTCCCATGGCTTTAAGTACCATCTCTATGCTGATGACATACAAATCTATCTTTCTACCCCTCACCTCACCCCTTCAGTCTCCTCTCACATCACTAACTTACTAAGTGACATATCGGCATGGATGTCACTCCACTTCCTCATACTCAATCTTTCCAAAACTTAGCACTTAGTATTCCCCCCAGCCCGTGCCCCCTCCCCTGACTTCTCCATCACGATCAATAACACAATCCTGGACACCGATCTGTTCTTTCAGCCCCAAATCCAATCACTGTCCAAATCTTGTAGACTTCACCTCCACAACATCTCCAAGATACGCCCGTTCTTAACCTCTGAAACTACTAAGCAACTTATTCACTCCCTTGTTATCTCTCGCCTTGACTATTGTAACTCCCTCCTCATTGGCCTACCTAATCGCAGGCTATCCCCTCTTCAGTCTATCATGAATGCTGCTGCCAGACTTATCTACCTTACTAACCGTTCTGTATCTGCCACCTCTCTCTGCCAATCCCTCCACTGGCTTCCATTGCCCAAGGGATAAAATTCAAAACATTAACAATCACATATAAAAACCATTTATAACTCTGCCGCAAATTACATCACTGATCTTGTCTCCAAATATCACCCAAACCGTACTCTCCACTCCTCGCAAGACCTCCTGCTCTCTAGCTCCCTTGTCTCCTCCTCCCATGCCCGTCTCCAGAGCCTCCCCCATCCTCTGGAACTCTCTACCCCAATCTATTCGACTATCGCCTACTCTGCCCATTTTTAGATGATCTGTGAAAACCTATCTCTTCAGGAAAGCCTATCCTGCCCTCAGCTAATAATGGAATCTTCTACTCCTCCTATCAGTCCATCCCCCAGTTATTACCTTGTGTACCACTAGCCCCTCCCTCCTAGATTGTAAGCTCCAAGGAGCAGGGCCCTCCTAACCCTCTTGTATTGAACTGTATTGTTGCTGTATTGTCTCTTGTTGTATTGTAAAGTGCTGAGCAAACTGTTGGTGCTATATAAATCCTGTATAATAATAATGAGGTGACAACCCTACCCCCCGGCCCATTCCGCCCCTGCACTGTTAGCCAAAGTAGGTGGCCACAAGGCCCCTGTGAGCATGAGTCCTTAGGTGACTGCCTAATTAAAAAGCCGCCTCTGAACAAGGATCATTCTTCCTACTGACCCTCACACTATTGTATCATGAGTTGTAGATACACCGACCCTCACACTATTGTATCATGAGTTGTAGATACACCGACCCTCACACTATTGTATCATGAGTTGTAGATACACCGACCCTCACACTATTGTATCATGAGTTGTAGATACACTGACCCTCACACTATTGTATCATGAGTTGTAGATACACTGACCCTCACACTATTGTATCATGAGTTGTAGATACACCGACCCTCACACTATTGTATCATGAGTTGTAGATACACCGACCCTCACACTATTGTATCATGAGTTGTAGATACACCGACCCTCACACTATTGTATCATGAGTTGTAGATACACCGACCCTCACACTATTGTATCATGAGTTGTAGATACACCGACCCTCACACTATTGTATCATGAGTTGTAGATACACCGACCCTCACACTATTGTATCATGAGTTGTAGATACACTGACCCTCACACTATTGTATCATGAGTTGTAGATACACCGACCCTCACACTATTGTATCATGAGTTGTAGATACACCGACCCTCACACTATTGTATCATGAGTTGTAGATACACCGACCCTCACACTATTGTATCATGAGTTGTAGATACACCGACCCTCACACTATTGTATCATGAGTTGTAGATACACCGACCCTCACACTATTGTATCATGAGTTGTAGATACACCGACCCTCACACTATTGTATCATGAGTTGTAGATACACCGACCCTCACACTATTGTATCATGAGTTGTAGATACACCGACCCTCACACTATTGTATCATGAGTTGTAGATACACCGACCCTCACACTATTGTATCATGAGTTGTAGATACACTGACCCTCACACTATTGTATCATGAGTTGTAGATACACCCGACCCTCACACTATTGTATCATGAGTTGTAGATACACCGACCCTCACACTATTGTATCATGAGTTGTAGATACACCGACCCTCACACTATTGTATCATGAGTTGTAGATACACCGACCCTCACACTATTGTATCATGAGTTGTAGATACACCGACCCTCACACTATTGTATCATGAGTTGCAGATACACCGACCCTCACACTATTGTATCATGAGTTGTAGATACACCGACCCTCACACTATTGTATCATGAGTTGTAGATACACCGACCCTCACACTATTGTATCATGAGTTGTAGATACACCGACCCTCACACTATTGTATCATGAGTTGTAGATACAGTCTTTTTTAGCAGAGGTTCCCTGAGAGCAGTTACTTCAAGGGTTCCTCTGTGTGGAAAAGGTTGAGAAAGGCTGATGTACAGCAATGAGTTGACTGCTTTCACTTTCACAGCCTACAGAGCACAAAGTAATAACCTCATACTGCTGGAACAGGAAGTGCCCTCACTCCTGGGCGTGTCCCTCCCACGCCTACCCTAACATTCCCGTACAGGAGAAAGGTGAGCGCCCTCAGGTCTCGGCGTGTCCTCCCTTCAGGATGCCCTATTGCTCCTTGTGCGGGAGAGGAGTAATCGCTTTGAGGTGGGCGTGTCCTTTCACTCAGTCCTGGGCGTGGCCATCCTATCACTTGTGTACAGGAGAGTGCCCTCATTCCTGGGCGTGTCCTCCACTTGGGCTACTGCATTGCTGCTCTGCATGAGTTCTGGGCGTGTCCTCCCACTGAGTTATATGCGTCAGAAAAACGCCCGCAGTTCTAGACGTGGCCTTCCCTTAGGCCCTTATCACACCTGTAGAGGAGAAAGTGGAGCACCCTTATTCCTAGGCGTGTCCTTCCCTCAGGCTACCCTATGGCTCCTCTGCATGAGTCCTGGGCGTGTCGTCAACCTTAGTCCTGGGCGTGGCCGCCCTATCACCTGTGTACAGGAGAGGGGTGAGCGCCCTCGGGCAGCTGTCACGCAGTGATGATGTCATCCTTGGCAGGGCACTCAGGAATTACTTGGACTGTGTTATCATGCCCGCAGGACGTAGCAGAGAGCTCGGGCGGCATTAAGGATGGGAAGCAGTGCCGGCCTGTGTCTAGCAGGGAGCTCGGACTAGCAGAGCGGACAGGCAGGTCTGAGAGGTCAGTACGGAGTGTCCCCGCTGACTTGGCCGCCTGTCACATGCTTTGTCCCCGGAGCGCTGTGTGGTGAGCAGACATTCACGATGATCCGGATCTCGCTGCTCCTCCTGCTCTGCTCCGGCTCGTTAAGCGCCAGTCAGCAGCAGCCGGAGACCCCAGACTGGAGGATGACCCTGAAGAGGATCCGGAATGGAGTCCACAAGATTGACATGTACCTGAACGCAGCTCTGGACCTGCTGGGGGGCGAGGACGGACTGTGCCGCTTTAAATGCAGAGATGGTAATGACAGCCGACACCAGTGTGACACCAGTGAGGTCCTTCCCATATGGCAGCTGGGCTCTGCGCAGGACAGGAGTACAGGGGCTTGTTAGCAATCCCAGTCTGCCGGAGCACCTTGGGGAACAATCCTCAAATTAGTGACAACCTTAAAGCAGAACTGACATTTGCCAGTTTTATCAGCTTTGCAATTGATTTTGTGGGAACAGAAATCATTCCATCTGTGGCCAGCTGTAGTGTAAGGAAACCCATTTGGTCAGTTTTATGCAATTGAATGGGTTTATCACTACTCTTCTTAAAGAAAACTAATGCAGCCACCACACCTAAGAAGTGAAATGTATTACATTTTGTCTTTCAGCAACTAACCATGGTGGCCATTTGGTTAACCTTGTGTCTGTGGGTGGTGGAAGATTCCATGGTTCAAAAGTGCTCAGGGAGATGGTATCCTGTTGGAATGACAGATTTGTTTCCTCCAAGATAACTGACCCCAGAGGTGTCTGACAGTGACTTCACGTCTGGCCACCATAGCAAATGTGTACTCTGATCTGATTATGCAGCTCATTAAACCTTGCAGTAGATGGATCCTACAGTGGGTATAGAAAAGAATAACCCCCTTTAAAATCACATTTTGATGCTTTGCAGCTTGAAATTAAGACAGTTTTTCTTTTATCCAGCTGTATTTTCTTAGTGCAACTTAAAACATCCAAGTGAAAGATGACATCAACGTGTCAGAGAAAATTCAAAAACAGAATCACAGAGTTGGAAAAAGGATCACCTCCTTGTCAGTGTTTTGTTGAACCACTTTTTTGCTTTAATGCCAGCCTTTAGTCTGTTGGGGTATGTTTCTACTAACTTTGCACATCTAGACTTTGCAATATTTGCCCACTCTTTGCAGAACTGCTCAAGTTCAATTAATTTTGATGGTGACCATTTGTGGACTGCAGTCTGTAAGTCATTCCACAGATTTTTAGTGGGGTTTAAGTCTGGGTTCTGACTAGGCCATGCAAGGACATTCACCTTTTTCTTCAACCACTGTGTGGACATTTCTGCTGTGTGCTTTGGGTCAGTGTCATGTTGGAATGTAAACCTTCTTCCCATTGACAACTGTCTGGCAGAGGGCACCAGAATATCCTCAAGAATTTGATGGTATTTTTCTCCATCCAGTTTTTCTTCTATCATGACAAGTGGTCTAATCCCTGCTGCAGAGAAACACCCCATTACAGGATTTTCCCCCCTCCATACTTTAATGTAGAAATGGTGTTCTTTGGATGGTGAGCTGTGTCACGGTCGCCCGATCGCCACCCTCAACATGCGACAATTGCACGACCGCAACCAACAATACGTCATGCCTGCGGCGTCAGACCCCAGACCTTCTCACCAAACTTGTGACCGAAGGACCGGCCGATCTAAAACTGTGATGTGACGTGCGTAACAAGGCCACACCCAGCTGCACCCTACACAGCGATTTTCCAGCTAGTGGACTACAATTGGTGCCTGCAGTCTGAATGCGCTTGTTACTGGGTCCAAAAGGAAACCCTCTTTATCCAATATACACTGTAATGGTTGAAAAGTCGCCTGTCCAATACAGTCACCGCAGGCCGATTGGGCAGAGGATTAAACAAACACAGTAGCGTCTCTTCAAAAGGCAGGAATTCGTAAATTGCAATTAAGTGCTTTAGAAACAGTTTAACACTTTCAGAAAGAAAGATTTATTGCTAAGAGTCAAACAGGTGCAATAAAATATTTACAGAAAAAGATGTAACTCATATATATATATAAACAGCACAGCAAAGAGATAACAGGGAGAAGTTAAAAGGTTAAGTTACTTGCCATGTTAAGCCTTAAGGTAAGCAGATCCAAGTTGCAGAGCGAAGGGTCTTTGATGTCCTGCTGTTACGATGTTAAAATTGGGATATGTGTTTAGCTTATTCTCAGGCCTACAGCCTGTGCTTTTTAAAGTCCCCCAACAAGGGGGGTGGCTCTGAGTAACTGACCAATACCCTGTTTAGGGAGGGATGTCGGGCTGACTCTGAATTAAAACTAACAGCTTCATAATCCATGATACCATGATATGAAACATAGGTGACAACTGGATCTTTTAAAAATGTTATCCACTTTGTGCTTCTGGGGAATGCCTTGAATTCTTGAGAAGGCCCTGTTATCTTTTCCCGAGGTGCGAAGCTACACAGGTTTTGGGACAGATAGTCTGCTGTCTCTATGGGGGGGGGGGGGGCTTTGTAGTTTTGGGCCCCCTGCTGTTCCAGCCTGCCAGCAACATTTAACACTTACACATCTGTCCCTGTGCCTCTCAGGAAGGGAGGGGGTAGGGAATGAAGGATTGAGGGAGAAATGTATGCTTTTATCAAATTGGATGTGCCTTGACAAAATGGTGGCACTGCGTCCATATCTGAGCGCAAGATTGCTACAAGCTGTACTGGATTTCCATCCATATCATTTATTGTTGATGCCAAATAATTCACTTTTAGTCTCATCTGACCAGAACACCTTTTCCATGTGGCCTCAGAATCTTCAAGGTGTGTTTTGGCAAAGCCCAGTCGTGAGTGCAGGTGGCCTTTCTTGAGCGACTTTTGAAACCTTCCCATATAAGCCTCAGTTGTGGAGAATTTGTGATATTGTTGTCACATGCACACAATGACCACTCTGTCATAAATGTTTGCAACTGTTTCAGAGTTGCTGTAGGCCTCTTGGTAGCCTCTCTGAACAGTTTACACCTGGCTCTTTCATCCAGTTTGGAGTGATGTTCTGATTCAGGGAGGGTCTGTGTTGTACCCAATATCTTCCACGTGTTAATAATGGACTTCACTGTGCTTCTAGGCATTGATGGTGTTTAAAAATGTTTTTGTGTCCATCTCCTGACTTGTGCCTGTACACAACTTTATCTTGGAGATCTTTTGACAGTACAGTGCCTTGCCACCCATTGTTGATTGTTTACTTCAGTTGCACTACCGGGACAGAAATGCTCCAGGAAAGCTCTTTTCATGCTGAGCTAATCAAAATAACCACAGCTGATCACAGTTGAAAGTCAAATGGCTTTGTGTGCCATTGAGAAGGTGATTAGCTACACCTGATTGAGTTTACAAGTCATTTTTTTCTCTGACATGTTAGTGTTCTATATTTCACTTGGATGTTATAAGCTGCACTGAGTAAATACAGCTGGATAAAATTACCGGAATGTCTGTCTTCATTTCAGGCTGCAAAGCAACAAATGTGATTATTTTAAAGAGGGGTGATTCATTTCTATACAAACTGTACCTGTATGCCTGAAGTGTCTATTACCTATAACTAGCCTTAAAATGATTTCTGGACTGGATGTGAGGTTGTAGAATGATGTATATATAATTTTTGACTTTTTAATTTGCCCTTTTGAAAAAGCGATGAGCTGTTTGCTCAGTGGATTTGCTGTTTGCCACGACAAAGTAAAACATTTCTCAACAGGACTTGCATAGTGTTTTAGATAAAGAAAATGTTATACTGCAGATAAGCAGTAAAGAACGGCATGTGCCTGTTTACATTCAGGTTGGAGCTGGCTGTAAAAGAAAAGAGATTTTCATGTGATTTATACTAAATTTGATACCATTGTGCAGGCTCTGATACCCATATTATAGACTAAAGCAGCCTTATCCATTAATTGAACGATGTATGAGATTAAAAAAAAAAATCCTAGTGTCTGTATCCAGTTAGCTACTTGTGTGATTATTGTGGTTGGCTGTCAGAGATCACACACTGGCTTCCAACTGTGGCTTCTAAACCGTGGCCAGGAGCTGTTGTCGACAACGTGGTCACTGTGTGGGGGAATTGTGCAAGCTCGTTCTCCAAACACAACTAATTTACAGATCTGGAAATTTATGTATTTATTTTTGTTTACTTTTTAAGTGGGGATCACTGCTACTTACTGAAATGTCAATGTGCTATCTTCCACAAGGTAGTATTTTGCTGATGGGTGTTCTGTTCATGTGCAAATATAACACTGGTGTTCTGGAATTGGCAGAGACCCACAGCTTGTCTGTGCACAGGCTGTGGGGCTCTACAAGGTTCCAGGTACTAGAAGCCAGTGACATGTCTGCATATGCGAGGGATGTTTGATAGTGGCACCGCAGAAGAGGGAGGCAGGAGGAGACTTTCCCCAGGGTAAAGTTCATCTTGTATGTCCATAGACAAATTTGATTGTAAAATGACCACTGCTGTCAGTACATTTGCTCCAGTGTTTGGCTTGGTTAAAGGAGCTGCCTATGTTTGGCAAAGCAACATTTTTATTTTAACCCACAAGTCCCTGCAACACCCCCCCCCCCTTCCTTTTGTTTGCTTTTCTGGCAGTATATATTGTCATATCTTTCATTGCCCTCTCCACTTAATCTAGCTGCTGGAAGTGGGAGAAGCCTCCTGAAGATAGGAAATAGCTTTGTGTAAGCTATGACTTGTGCTGCTTGCAGTCTTTGCAGGGAAACTTTAATATAGGCCATACATGGTTCGAATTCCGAACGATTTTTCGTCTGAAAATGTCTTTTGCTCGGTAATCCGACGGTGCCATCATTGATTTCGAATATTGGCCGACCAAATCCTAAAGTTCACCCCATATAACATGCAAAACTTCTGTTCCTTCCAGGTCACGGCTCATGCGCATATTATTTTCGGAAAAATGATTGTACTATTTGACCATCATTTAGTCAAAAATCAGTCATTTTCGGGAATTTTCCAACATGCCCGATTCCCGAAAAGGGGAGGAACCACGAAAATTGGCCGGTGTCATTGACCGACTAACAGAGCAAAAATCGGCCGATTATTCTTAGGTCTGATTTCGGACGAAAAATCGGTCGAGTTTCAACCCATGTATGGCTGGACTAAGTCATAGCTTACACAGGGCTATAGAACCCCTCTAACAGCCATGGTGTGCTTGGCCCACTATCAAATTCTTCCCCATACCAATACCAAGTATTTTCTTTCGATCAGTGAACGCATGGAAATAAATGCCAGGGAAAAACACGAGATTCTATCTTTTCTTCGTTTCACTTTAAACTGAAAATATTCTAGTAATAAAGTAATTCTAAGTTGGACTTTGAGGCATTGTTTTTATTGCTCCTAATATATACAATCCCTATTCAGCTTTGTGTACAACTTAAACTAATATTAAGTACAGCACAAACTGTTGGCACTATATAAATCCTGTCTAATAATTAGCATTGCTGTCATCCGGATTTAAGATAACAGTGGTAGGGTAGTCAGACTCATTTCATGTGTTTTAATGCTTGTAGTGTTTTTAAAGTGACGTAACATGAAGAAATGTGCATGTATTGGAGGGCTGTGCTGAATTATTATTATACAGCATTTATAAAGCGCCAATAGTTCGCTCAGCGCTGTACATTACAGAGGGGAACAGAACATGTGACAGAACAATACCAATACAATGCAAAACATGAGGGGATTGAGGGCCCTGCTCTTTCGAGCTTACAATCTAGGAGGGAGGGGATGGTGGCACAGGAGGAGATAGCTGTGGGGGATGGAGTGGTAGGAAGAGTGGAGGAGGTCGGCAACTTAGCAGGGGGCGGGGTAGGCTTCCCTGAAGAGATGGGTTTTCAGGGTGCGCCTAAAGGAGAGGAGAGTAGGTGATAATCTGATGGGTTGGTACAGGGAGTTCCAGAGGATGGGTGACACCCTGGAGAAGTCCTGGAGGCGGGCATGGGAGGAGGAGACCAGGGAACTAGAGAGGAGGTCTTGTGAGGAGCGGAGTGTGCGTGCTGGGCGGTACTTGGATATTAGGTCAGTGATGTAGTTCGGGGCAGTATGGTGGACAGCTTTGTACGTCAGCGTTAGGATTTTGAATTTGATCCGTTGCGCAATCGGAAGCCAGTGGAGGGATTGGCAGAGGGGGGTGGCGGAAACAGGTGAATGAGTCTGGCAGCCGTATTCAGGATGGACTGAAGCGGGGATAGCCAGCGGCAAGGCAGGCCAGTAAGGAGGGAGTCGCAGTAGTCGAGTCGTGATATGATGAGGGAGTGGATGAGCTGTTTAGTGGTTTCTGGGGTTAGGAACGTGCGGATTTTGGAGATGTTGCGGAGGTGGAGTCTGCACGAGTTTGTTAAAGAGTGGACTTGGGGCTGGAAGGATAGGTTGGAGTCCAAAATGACACCAAGTATTCTGGCCTGCGGGGCGGGTTTGATGGTGGTGTGTTGGACATGATGGAGAAGTCAATGGGGGGTGGTGTCCGGGCTGGAGGGAAGACAAGAAGTTTATTCTTATTTCTTGGGACAAAACCCAGGTTTCCTGTAACATGCCCTAGCATATGTTTATTATGTCTCTTGCCTCTGGCTTGTAGTTCCATGTGGCATCTTTGCCATCTCCAGTTGTAGTCCTCCTCCTGTCTCACATGTCAGTGCTGAGGTGTAGAGGCTTCTTGCCCAGGCACTGAACATTGCTTTTTGTGTGTGTGTGTGTGTGTGTGTGTGTGTGTGTGTGTGTGTGTGTGTGTGTGTGTGTGTGTGTGTGTGTGTGTGTGTGTGTGTGTGTGTGTGTGTGTTTTCAAACTAAAAGTTAATATCTATGAGAAGGGTTTATATTCTACACTTCTTGTAGAGGTTCATTTTATTTGCTTAGTTTGTGTACATTTTCTTCTTTTATGTTTGAAGATATTGTCCATGTGAGAGTTTTGTAATCCCAATTGCACACCTGCTTATTGCATATTGTGTAACTTGATTTTGAAACAAGTTACACATTATCCTACTATGTCCTATCCTATGTCAGAAATAAGACCTGGACTTCTAATGTAAAATGCTGAATTGTGCAATTCTATATATCTTTGTCGCAATAGAAATATATGTGTAAGTATGTTCTCATTGTTGAGGATGTTTAAGGTCATATGAGCAGCTCCTAGTATAGTTGGTGATTGCCTGGGTTCATAGAGTTGTCTTCAACTGAGTAGATCGAGCAGAATTAAAGTGAGTGATCTAGAACATATGCAAGGTTGGGGGAGCTATAGAGAAAATGTTCCAGCTCCTTATTGCAGCTCCGTGATACTGTGTTTTTATGGGTACAGTTCTGCCATCATCCTCATCCTTAAAGCGTTACTAAAGGGTTTTTTTTTTTTTTTTTTTTTTTGACATCACAAACATGGTATACTTACCTGCTCTGTGCAATCGGATTGCATAGAGCAGCCCCGAACCTGCTCTTTTTGGGTCCCTTGCCGTTGCTGTCCACTCCTTTCTTCTCTTCAGTGTCTGCCCCCATAGCAAGGGCTTGTTGCAGGCTCGCTCTGTCTATAGCGACAGCCAGAGCCCAACTTGACCCTCTTCCTCCTCAATGGATTTGATTGACAGCAGCAAGAGCCAATGGCTCTCGCTGCTACCGAGTCTCCTGTGAGAGAGGAAGAGAGCGCTCTCGGGCACAGTTTGGGCTTGGGTAAGTGTAAGTGGGGGCTGGGGAGGAGCTAATCTAAGGAGCTAAATGAAGGGAAATTTCACCAACAGGACACCAATGTCATGAAACGGTCATTAAAAGGTTACTTTCCCCTTTTCTATGCAATACTACACAAGAAGACTGATTATACATTTGTTTTGTATGTCTATTGACACAAACACTGCTCATTGGTTTCTGTGCAGAAGCGAGCCTGATTTTACAGCTTTAGTAAATAAACCCCACACTGTGGCATGACCTACCCCACCTCCAGTTCCCACCTCCATAGGCTATAGCTGGTGCCACTGATCGAGAGAAATTTTTAAAACAGGCTGGTTTTGGACAAGTCGATCGATAGCCTGCTCATACATGGATCGAAATTTGACCAGTCCCTGCTGTACCATCTGGATTTCAATCCATGTATGGCCGGCTTAAGAGGGGAACCAAAACCTTTTGTTTATGTACAGAATGGGAAGTGATCCAAAGGTCTCTTAAATATTTTTTTTTTTTTTTTTGCTGATATGTTATCACTCCACTGATACATTATCAGCACAAGTGAGATCACTGACTTTCTATCAGATAGTAGGGGCTTGTGCAATAACATTTTGATGGTGTGATAAATGCTATAGAACTTGAATAAAGTGAAAGGTTCTGGAAACCTGGTCTCCAATGCTTTGCAAATGCTCTCTGCCATAATATGTTAACTTTTTTTTTTTTTTTTTTTTTTTTTTGGATGATTTTTAACTTGCAATGCTTTTCAAGACAACACCAATAGATGTTACTTATCCATTGTTTGTTTATATATAGATGTCAAGCCCCTGCTCTCCCCCCCCCCCCCCCCCCCCCCCTTTTAAAAAAAAAAAAAAAAAAAAAAAAAAAAAAAAAAAAAAACACCTAAAAAAAAAAAAAAGAATGTTGCTAATGGCTGACCAGATGAAAAGTAGAATCTGGTTAGATGCTTTGGGCACCATCTTCAGGTGTTTTGTTGTTTTTTTTTTTTTTTTTTTTTTTTTTTTATCCCCTTGCGATTTGTAGAATGCCTACTAGTACTTATCACCAGCAAGCTTTGCTTATACCCATCTTTTAAAAAACAAAAAACTATAGGAGGGGCAGGAACATTTATGACACTTCAGAGCCTAGCATAGAAACACTGCCTGGTCAAGGAAGGCTATGTGAGTGAGTTGGCTGACTTGCTTGTGCTTGCATCCAAAGTCTGTCCAAACATTATGTTGTTAATGAGAAGGAGTAAGGAGGTCAGATATAAGTATAAACGTGACCCTGTAGTTTGTCATTTTTGTTTCATACTGATGGAGAAATAAAGGAAATGATCTTCAGATGTTCCAGAGCCAGTTCTTTTCACATTTTTGTTCATTCAAATGCAAAATGATTGTATAGGGAATGTAGGATTTGTGCACCTTATATACACAGAAGATTGACCAGCACAGAAAGTGTAAAAGAAATAATGTGTCCTATGAGTGTACCACTAACAGATTTTTTTTCATCCATAGGTTCCAAGCCAACTCCACGCTATGGCTATAAACCTTCACCTCCGAATGGATGTGGATCCCCTGTGTTTGGTTTTCATGTAAATAAAACTTTTTTTATTATTTCATCATGTACAGATATGATATTCAGCCAGTTCTCTTGGTGGATACCTGTTGTTTGCATTTATGTCTCCCATTGCACATACACCTATGTGGAGCAGATTGAAAACGTAATTCCTTAAAGGAAACCTGTCATGAAAGAATAATGCTTTGAGTTGCTGCTGAAAAAACATTGAGGGAATGTCCACATCTACCAGTGGCCATATAGTTGTATTACTTTTTTTTTTTTTTTTTTTTTTTTTTTTTTTTTTTTTTTATGCCTTGGGTGCAGTAGGTCATTTTGTACATATTGAAATCCTATTGGATGATGAATACGATATTCAAAGCAATGTCTAACTCTGTATCCTAGGTGGAGACTTCTACATATTTAGACCATGAAAAATTTGGACAAAAGAGTTATTATCCAAAACCTTTTTAATTAAAAAAAATATATATATTCTTTTCATAGATTAGGAAACCTAAAACAAAAATCTGTTTTTGGTTTTATTTTTCCCCCATCAGACTTGGTCATATCCAAAAGATACCAGGTAGGTCAGAGAAGCAGGTAGCAGGACATGTGATTTGTGTGATGAACTAATTTTATTTCAACAAACTTAATGCTGAACTCGGGACAATCAGCTAAATACATGGACGAAGTACTCATGAGAGCTGTTTTTACCTGCCAAAGGTTGTGTTTTTTTTTTTTTTTTTTTTTTTTTTATTTCTGTCCATCCATTTCTAAAGTTTTACACTGTTCTGCCACATAACACAGCCCACGCTGGGATGGCAGGCATCCTCCTTTCTCAGAGTATGCACAGCTTACTGTACATACTCATCACACCTTGGTCCCGGAATGAACAACCTGCTGTGTGAATGTTTTGTTTTTTGTTTTAGTAAAATAACAAACGTTATAATTTCCTGACATGATTTTGCACAGAGCAGCATCAATCCTCTTCTCGGGCCCCCCACTGGCACTCCTGGCTCCACTCCTACATCAAGTGCCCCCAGAGCAAGCATCTTGCTCTAAGGGCACTTGTGCATTCTCGCTTCCAGTCCTGCTCTGTGTGTCCATAGGAGACACACAGCAAGGCTTGGCCCCACTCCTCCCCACTGGCTCTGATAGCGGCAGGAGCCAATGAGAAGCAAGAGAGCCAAAAGAGCTTTCATGCACATCGCTGCATTGAGAGCGGCTCAGGTATTTATTTAGCGGGGAGCTGCAGTAGCTGCATAGAAAGGTTAAAAAAAAAAATATATATATATATATATATATATATATATACAGTCATGGCCGAAATTGTTGGCACCCTTGATATTTCTCCAGGAAATCATGTATTTCTCACGAAACGTATTGCATTAACACATGTTTTGCTATACACATGTTTATTCCCTTTGTGTGTATTGGGACAAAACAAAAAAAGGGAGGAAAGAAAGCAAATTCGACATAATGTCACACAAACCTCCAAAAATGGGCTGGACAAAAGTATTGGCACCCTTTCACAACTGCGGATAAAAAGAATGTTACAAGCATGTGATGCTCCTGTAAACTCACCTGGGGCAAGTAACAGGTGTGGGCAATATAGAAATCACACCTGAAAGCAGATAAAAAGGAGAGACGTTCACTTAACCTTTGCATTGTGTGTCTGTCTGTGCCACACTAAGCATGGACAACAGAAAGAGGAGACGAGAAACTGTCTGAGGACCTGAGAACCAAAATTGTGGCAAAATATCAACAATCTCAAGGTTACAAGTCCATCTCCAGAGAACTAGATTTGCCTTTGTCCACAGTGCGCAACATTATCAAGAAGTTTGCAAACCCATGGCACTGTAGCTAATCTCCCTGGTCGTGGACGGATGAGGAAAATTGATGAAAGATTGCAACGCAGAATAGTCCGGATGGTGGATAAGCAGCCCCAAACATGTTCCAAAGACATTCAAGCTGTCCTGCAGGCTCAGGGAGCATCAGTGTCAGCGCGAACTATCCGTCGACATTTAAATGAAATGAAACGCTATGGCAGGAGACCCAGGAGGACCCCACTGCTGACACAGAGACATAAAAAAGCAAGACTACAGTTTGCCAAAATGTACTTGAGTTAAGCCAAAAGCCTTCTGGGAAAACGTCTTGTGGACAGATGAGACCAAGATAGAGCTTTTCGGTAAAGCACATCATTCTACTGTTTACCGAAAACGGAATGAGGCCTACAAAGAACAAAACACAGTACCTACGGTAAAATATGGTGGAGGTTCAATGATGTTTTGGGGTTGTTTTGCTGCCTCTGGCACTGGGTGCCTTGACTGTGTGCAAGGCATCATGAAATCTGAGGATTACCAAAGGATTTTGGGTCGCACTGTAGGGCCCAGTGTCAGAAAGCTGGTTTGCGTCCAAGATCCTGGGTCTTCCAGCAGGACAATGACCCCAAACATACGTCAAAAAGCACTCAGAAATGGATGGCAAAGAAGCGCTGGAGAGTTCTGAAGTGGCCAGCAATGAGCCCAGATTTCTAAATCCCATTGAACACCTGTGGAGAGATCTTAAAATTGCTGTTGGGAAAAGGTGTCCTTCCAATAAGAGAGACCTGGAGCTGTTTGCAAAGGAAGAGTGGTCCAAAATTCCGGGTGAGAGGTGTCAGAAGCTTATTGATGGTTATAGGAAGCGACTGATTTCAGTTATGTTTTCCAAAGGGTGTGCAACCAAATATTAAGTTAAGGGTGCCAATACTTTTGTCCAGCCCATTTTTGGGTTTTTGTGTGACATTATGTCATATTTGCTTTTCTGCCTCTGTTTTTATATTTGTTCCAATACATACAAAGGGAATAAACATGTGTATAGCAAAACATGTGTTAATGCAATACCTTTTTTTTGTGTGAAATACTTGATTTTCAGGAAAAATATCAAGGGTGCCAACAATTTCGGCCATGACTGTATATATCTCGCCTTATTTCTTTTGGATGAATACATCAGCTGCAGGGAAACCACTGACTTACTAAGTTGGCATATTTCTATGGTTTAAACCATTTTACCTCTCTACTGGGGATAAAAAGGGGGTTCTAACCCTCTGTTACTCGATCCAAAATGAAAAAGAAAGTTTTGCCTTTAGTTACATGTTAGCAATTTTTGCTGTGATATTTGGTGAAGTTATTGCTATATAATGGACAGGTCTGTTTTTGTCTTGTTCAAGAATAGCTATAGTCTCTTGAAAGTGTAAGGCTACGTTCAGACTAGCCTTGTTAGCAAGCGGCAGACAGGCGTTTGGGAAGCGTTTTTACCGTTTCCCAAACACCTGGGAAAATTCTGCACATTGCAGCACATGGTGCTGTTCAAACGGGAGCGTTAGCATCGTGGCAAAACAGACGCCTCTGGTCGAGTCAGGAGGAGTTGAAGCCTCCTATTCAAGTCTATGGTGCCGTTCCGCAAACGCCTGGCTGGCGTTTGCAGTGCGGTTGCGGGGCGTTAACACCATTCAAACTTCATTATAGGCGTTTGTGGGGCGTTTTTAACGCTTGGCAAATGCCTAGCAACTGTGGCTAAACCGTGCATGGGGCGTTTGCGGAGCATTAAAAAACGCTCCGCAAACGCCGGACCAACGCTTGCCAAAAGCTATAGGGGCGTTTTGACAAGAGTTGGAAAAACAGTCAAGTGTGAACGAGCCCTAACACTGGTATCCATCTGTCAAACCTTCAAATTGATTACGCCCCTTTCTTAACAGTTCAAGTTCCACACCTTTGTAAGAATACTTGTCTATTCCTAATCCTATTCTGTCTTGTGAATATTTGAGCCAATGGGGTGGAGATACTAAAGGCACATAGACTGAACGGTTTGCAAATGCAACTGCCACAGAGCTTAGTAAATGAGGCGAAGCTCTGCTGACTTCCATCATCCAATCATGTGCAAGCAAAAATGCAGTTTTACTTTCCTTGCATGTTATTGGGTATTCTTTGTAAAGTGAAGCTTTAATTCATTTACTAAGTTACTAAGCTCTGGAGCAACTTGTCTATTTGCCTTTAAAGTATTACTATAGGCAAAACTTTTTTTCTTCATTTTTGTATAGAGTAAGGGAGGGTTATAACCCCTGTCAGTTGTGTGTTTTTTTTTTTTTTTTTTCTTTTTTTTCTCTCCTCTGTGTCCCATTGTGGAGATTTCCTTTTACCTCCTGTCCCATAGCCAAAATAGGTGAGAAGTGAGAGAAAATCCCTACAAATTAAAGGTCTCCTTTGGAGACACCCAGGTCACCAGAACTAGTGTCCCCATTGGATGATTTCCCCTCTTACTTTTCTGGGAACAACCCAAAATTTGGAGTTTTTCTTTTCTTTTATTTTCACTTTCAATGATCATGGTATACAAGCAAATTGAAATGCTGAATTTTCCTAACTGGGACACAAACGGCAATAAAAACCTGACTGGTTCAAATCTCTGTCCACTCTATCCAAAAGCTAAAAAAAAAAGTTTGACTTTAGTTATACTTTACTGTAAGTAAATCAACCCCATTGAATTTCCGTTTTTCCATATTTAGGTTTCTATGCATTACTGTTCAGAGAGCTGATCCAAAAAGGTAGAGACTACTCAAAATTAGCTATTATATTTTTACATTCCTATAAATACCGCATGTCTGGACCACTACTTAACTCATTCATTTAATTTTTTTTTGTCTTCTTTAGTGAATTGATTGTAACATCCTTTTATGTGGTATTTACTGAGCATTTTTGCTTTTTGAGGTAAATACCACACAATGAAATAGTGAAATGACATTTTCAGCATTGCATGCGATTATTTGGGGGGGAAAAAAAAATGATAACCAAGTAAATACCGCATGCTATCTGCTTTAGTGAATAAAGCTCATTGTTATTTTACCAGTCAGTGGTCATAATACTTTGGCTGATTGGTGTATTTACTTTTAGGTTTTTGTTTTTTTCTTTTTACATTTTCTCTGTTGCTTCCTAGTTTCTTGCCTAGGCCAAAATTAGGTCATACATGCCATGACTCTTCACGGGCATTTTTTTCTTTCATCTGGGGGGGGGGGGGCTTTATTGCCTAAACACATCCTCCTACCAGCATGCCTGAGCTAAGGGCAGATGGATTCCAAGAAGTAAAGGCTACATGAATCCTGTGCCCTTATTCAAGTTGGCCACAGCCAGAAATGATGGTTTTTTTCAAAGTGATTTCTTAACAAAAAAAAGCATGAAGACAAGGCTGAATATGTGAATTCGCTTTGAATATTAAAAATGAATTAAACCAGGTTTTATCAAGTATATTATTTCTTCTGTCTTCCCAGTTTGATGTTGGCATACCCTGCATGACAAAGTGCTGCAATCAGCATGACCGCTGCTATGACACATGTGGTAACCTGAAGAATGAGTGTGATGAACAGTTCCAGAACTGCCTCTCCAAAATATGTCGAGATGTACAGAGGACCCTGGGAATTGCAGAGACTGTGAAAGGTGAGTAGCTAGTTTTATAAAAAAAAAAAATTTTTCTCTGTACTGGAGGAAATGCCTGGAAATCCTATGATACATTCAAGGAACATCTGAATCCGTTATCTTTTGTAGGAAATTGCTTTTTCAGACCTGCTCTTATTAGCAGTGCAGCTTGGCAATTGTAGTGTGCACCTGTCTCAACACAGGAGGTCAGAAGGTACGGAAGGACCCTCTTCACATTTACTATCATAGATGGCCCTTCTCCCACTGAAGCCCTGTATGGCATGAAGCCAGAAGTCCACTAACCCCCCCCACCCGCTCAGTGTTCCTCATGAAGATGTATTCTCCCCCATATTATTATTATACAGTATTTATAAAGCGCCAATAGTTTGCTCAGCGCTGTACATTACAAAGGGGGACAGAACATGTGACAGGACAATGCCAATACAATGCAAACCATAAGAGGATTGAGGGCCCTGCTCTTTCGAGCTTACAATCTAGGAGGGAGGGGATGGTGGCACAGGAGGAGATAGCTGTGGAGGATGGAGTTGTAGGAAGAGTGGAGGAGGTCGGCAAGTTAGCAGGGGGTGGGGTAGGCTTCCCTGAAGAGATGGGTTTTCAGGGTGCGCCTAAAGGAGAGGAGAGTAGGTGATAATCTGATGGGTTGGTACAGGGAGTTCCAGAGGATGGGTGACACCCTAGAGAAGTCCTGGAGGCGAGCATGGGAGGAGGAGACCATGGAACTAGAGAGGAGGTCTTGGGAGGAGCGGAGTGTGCGTGCTGGGCAGTACTTGGATATTAGGTCAGTGATGTAGTTCGGGGCAGTATAGTGGACAGCTTTGTACGTCAGCGTTAGGATTTTGAATTTGATCCGTTGCGCAATCGGAAGCCAGTGGAGGGATTGGCAGAGGGGTGTGGCAGAGACGGAGCGGTTGGAAAGGTGAATGAGTCTGGCAGTCGTATTCAGGATGGACTGAAGTGGGGATAGCCAGCGGCGAGGCAGGCCAGTGAGGAGGGAGTTGCAGTAGTCAAGTCGTGATATGATGAGGGAGTGGATGAGCTGTTTAGTGGTTTCTGGGGTTAGGAACGTGCGGATTTTGGCGATGTTGCGGAGGTGGAGTCTGCACGAGTTTGTTAAAGATTGGACTTGGGGCTGGAAGGATAGGTTGGAGTCCAGAATGACACCAAGTACTCTGGCCTGCGGGGCGGGTTTGATGGTAGCGTTGTTGGATGTGATAGAGAAGTCAATGGGGGGGTGGTGTCCGGGCTGGGGGGAAGACAAGAAACTCGGTTTTGGAGAGGTTCAGTTTAAGGAAGTGGAGCGACATCCAGTCTGATATGTTGCTCAGCAGGTGTGTGATTCGGGCGGAGACCGAGGGGGTGAGGTGGGGGGTTGAGAGATAGATTTGTGTGTCGTCGGCATAGAGGTGGTAGTTGAAGCCGTGAGAGTGTATGAGTTGGCCAAGGGAGGAGGTGTAGATGGAGAAGAGAAGGGGCCCAAGGACAGAGCCTTGAGGGACCCCAACAGAGAGGGGGAGTGAGAGGGAGGTGGTAGCATTATAGGTAACGCTGAAAGAGCGTTGTGACAGGTAGGATGAGAGCCAGGAGAGAGCAGAATCTCTGAGGCCGAGGGAGTGTAGTTTTTTTTGAGGAGGAGGGGGTGGTCGACTGTGTCGAAGCCCGCAGAGAGGTCAAGGAGTAGGAGCACTGAATAGTGGCCATTAGCTTTGGCGGTTAGCAGGTCGTTGGAGAGTTTGAGTAAGGCAGTTTTGGTGGAGTGTAGGGGATGGAAGCCGGACTGTAGGGGATCGAGGAGGTTGTTGTCGTTGAGGTGAGAGCATAGGCGGGTGTAGACTAGGCGCTCGAGGAGTTTAGATGTAAATGGGAGCAGGGAGATGGGTCTGAGGTTGTTCGGGTCATTGGGGTCCAGGGAGGGCTTTTTAAGTATGGGGGTGATGTGTGCATGTTTCAGAGGGGAGGGGAAAGTGCCGGAGGAGAGGGAGAGATTGAAGATGTGGGTGAGGGAGTGTAGGATGGAGGGGGAGGGAGGTCGTAGGAGTTGTGAGGGGATAGGGTCAAGGGGGCAGGTGGTGAGGCGGGCATCAGAGAGGATCTTGGAGACTTCCTCGATTGTAGTAAGGTCAAAGGTGCGGAGTGTTGGGAGCTTCAGTATGAGGAGTGTAGGGTGGGGTGGAAGAGGAGGTCAGAGCAGTGGTGGGGCCATGGAAGAGGGGTGATGAGGGGGTAGATGAGTGAGGGGGAAGGGGGTTGGAGGGAGTTTGAGCAGCGACGAAGTCCCTGCGGGTTATGTTGAGGGGGTAGCTGTGTGAGAGGGGACGGGTTGAGAGGGCCTGTGAGTTGCGGCGATGTCCTTGCGAATTGTGTCAATCTTGTTCTTGAAGTGATTGGCAATCTCAAGGGCAGTGAGTGAGGTGCTGGGTGGAGGTGGGGGTGGCAAGAGTAGAGCGTTGAAGGTTGGAAAAGAGGGCCTTGAGGGTCAGGAGGTAGGCTTGTTTGGCTGCGTGGAGGGGGGAGGTGTAGGTGTGGAAGGCAGATTTGTAGCGGGTGAAGGCTTGTTGGGATTTTGTTTTGCGCCAAAGTCGCTCCAGGGCACGACTGTGTCGTTTGAGGGTTTTGGTGTGATCAGTCTGCCAGGGCTGATGTTGCGTGTGGTTAAAGGTGCTAGTGAGTCAAGGGCTGTTGAGAGCGCGTTGTAGGCGGTCATAACCAAGTCGGGGCAGGACAGGGGGAGGATGCTGTCATGGAGTTGATCAGCTGCAGAGTGGAGGGGGGCAGGGTTAAGGTTGCGGAGGTTACAGCTGGTAGCAGTGTGACATTTGGAGGGGTAGGCGTTGGAGGACGAGGAGATAGAGAAGGTAATCAGGTTATGGTCAGAGAGAGGGAAGGGGGTGTTAGTGAGGTTGTGGGGAGCGCAGCGGATGGAGAAGACAAGATCAAGGATATTACCGTCAGAGTGGGTGGTGGATTGTATGCACTGTGCAAGTGTATAGGAGGAGGTTAAGTGGAGGAGATGGGCTGTGTCCGGGTTGTCGATGTTGACAGGGATGTTGAAATCCCCAAGGATGATGGTGGGTAGCTCAGAGGAGAGGAAGAAGGGTAGCCAGGAGGAGAAGTCACCCAGGAAGCGGGGTATGGATCCAGGAGGCCGGTATATCACAGCAATCTTCAGGGGGGTTGGGGAGAATAGTCGGACGCAGTGGGCCTCGAAGGAGGAGAAGGATAGGGAGGGGGGGTTTGCGAGGACTCGGAAGGTGCTCTGCGGTGACGGGAGCAGACCAACCCCACCACCTTTACGACCGTTGGGCCTGGGTGAGTGGGTCCAGGTGAGACTGCCATAGGAGAGTGCAGCAGGGGAGGTAGTCAGTGGGCTGGATCCAGGTTTCCGTAATCGCAAGGAGGTTGAGGGAGCGGGAAACAAAGAGGTCGTGGCCATATCCACAATTGGGGAGGCTGCTTGTTCATGTTGCTGGGTCCCAGGGTAGTTTTACTTCCTTGTCAAGTCTCACTCAGCCTAGAGAGGAAGAGTTAGTAGGAGACTAGGCCCCAAAAATAAGTAAGGATGTAGGAATGGCACAAAGAAAACCTATTATAATAAACAAATGCCACTTTAAAAATACATGATAGTTTGTGGGGCAGAGTGCAGGGGGTCTGTAGTTTGCAAGGCAGGATGTGATTCTTCTTCTTTCCTCCATTTCACTCCTTTCACTCCATATCCAGAAAGGTGCAGAAGAGCGGCAGTGAGACACAGATCACCTTTTCTGATGTGCTAATCTCCACTGGCCCTTCTCTCTCATCCATCCCAGTTGCTTGTATGTGATGAAGCATACAAGCACCTGGGATGGCCGGGATAGGAAGGCTGGTGGGGGATCAACTCAGAAGGACATGTAGCTATGTTGCTTCTCTGTGCTGCTCTACATATGGGGGAGGGGCACTGCAGATGGAGGCTCAGCAGTGTAAGGATGCAATCGCTGGTTTGCTGATCCCCAGCCTAGATCACCAGAGCTTCCCAAATTTATATAGCAGGACCTTGTCTGTGGGAATGGTATCCACTGCTGACTTGTACTTCTTCCCATAAGTGATTTCCTTTTTCCCTAAGATGTAGCTACACCCCTTGTGGTGCTTGATACTTTTCAACCTTATCTCTGTCGTACAAGCTCAACACAGAACAGTTCCTACTGCTCCTTTTACTAATGAAAACCAGACACTGCTTCAGTACTGGTCCTTATATCCATCCTAGTACTTTTTCCTGGCATCTCCATTGAAGAAGTGCTCAGGAGACCCACCTCATCTAGCACAGATCTTTGCTGAAAGAGGCCACTCCCTGTAGATGTTTTAACCTCTTCTCATTTTCCTCCCACGGGGGTTTTAGGATTGCTGATTCTAGTATGGTCTCTCAGCCCCTTTTGGGTGCTTTTCTTTCTGTTAGGGGGTTTGTTCTCCCTGCGCAAGACACCAATATGGTCCCTTTAGACCAGGCATGTCCAAAGTCCGGCCCGCGGGCCATTTACGGCCCGGGGGTCGGTTTAATACGGCCCTCCAACAGCCCTCCCTGCTCTGTGTAATACGGCCCTCCCTTCTATGGCAGACAGTCTTCTGTTTGAGAGCAGAGAGCAGTGCGCATGCCTGACTGCGGCGCGTTCTCCCTGGTCTGTGTAAATGCGGCTGTCGCATGGCCCTCCCTTCTGTGGCAGACAGTATTCTGCTTGAGAGCAGTGCGCATGCGTGACTGCGCCACGCTGGGAGCGACAGAGGGCCGGGCTTCCAGCGTGAAGTGTGTTTCTCTTCTCCTCCCGGCTGCCGAGCAGAGACTTCAGCTCCAGCTACCTTTTTCACCCTTCACATTAGTGCAGGTAAGTTTTTTTTAAATTTATTTTCAATACATTGTGAAAACTCAGCTGTCAGTTGATCTTAAGGTTATGAAATGAAAAGTATGTCGTTTGCAATTAACTTGGCATAAAGTAATTTATTTGCATTTAATTGTAATGGTTCAAAGAATGTTCGGA